TTTTTAGTAGAGACGGGGTTTCACCGTGTTGACCAGGATGGTCTCGATCTCTTGACCTCGTGATCCACCCGCCTCGGCCTCCCAAAGTGCTGGGATTACAGGCTTGAGCCACCGCGCCCGGCCTACAAGTACAATTTTTTAAAAAGCTTGTAAACCTCTTTACTGAACTAATTTGGATTATAGATAGTATTGGGAAACTATTTAAGACAGTCTTGCTCTGTCACCCAGGATGGAGTGCAGTGGTGCAGTGTTGGCTCACTGCAACCTCTGCCTCCTGGGTTTAGGTAATTCTTGTGCCTCAGCCTCCAGAGTAGCTACTCTAGGCCCTTGCTACTATGCCCAGCTAGTTTTTCTATTTTAGTAGAGATGAGGTTTTGCCATGTTGGCCAGGCTTGTCTTGAACTCCTAGCCTCAAGTGATCCACCTGCCTGGGCCTCCCAAAGTGCTGGGATTGTAGGTATGAGCCACCATACATGGCCAGAAACTATTTAAAAACAGACTCTTGTGGGCCTGCTACAGGAAAGCTTAGGTGAGTAAATACAGCAAAACAAGACATAATATTTTTGTGGAATACCTTGATAGCTATTGCCTACTGTGGTTAATGGTATGTCTTATCTCCTTAGAACCATTTTTTTTCTTTTGGTTTGTGAATTTGAAATTTGTTTTACATGTGTAAATTGGTTTTGAGTTTGGTTTTCAACACATTTTATTTAAATGGAATTTATTAGGCTTCAATAGTTATCAGTTTGAGGGATACTCTTGAACTTTGTGCCAGGTACTTTCTGGCTCCAATTACTGTGAATTAGTCCTAGGGTAGCTGAAGTTCTAGATTATTACTGTGAAATCAAATGCTGTTTTTGTTAATGTTCATTTGTCTGGTATAAGTTTGCTCTGGGCTAAGCCAATCTGTGGAAAGACTTAACTCTGTTCCAGGAAGCTTCCAACTTAGGGAAAAAAAATTTTTTTTTCTTCTAATTCTGACTGTTCCACTTCTTTGAAAAAATCAGATAAACAGATCAGACTTGTAAATGATCTGTTTTCTTAAGATAGCTTCTGACAGAGTGGGTCTCCAGGGAACTGAGTGGCAACACACATTTAGCTGGGAGTGGCAGTTCATCTCCTTAAATGTAATTTAACATCACATTTGTCTACACACAGCAGTTTTGGAGGCATACTTG